AAGGGGAGAATGTCGTGGAGAGGGGGAAAGAATAATAGTGGATCTGAGCAGTGATATTAGACCTTTAGCTAGGAACCGAAAGCTTTGCTTCCTTTTCTTCTTTACAGCTGAGTTTGGAATTGGCCAGGTTGGACATACATGTGATGAACTTGAGTGAAAGCAGTACCTGTGCATGTCTTGGAATTGCAGGTCTTGGATGAGCTTATCAGAGAGTTTAATGTTTCGCTGGTGTTTATGGCCATATTTGTCCTCCTTCTGTATCTTGTTGTGATCTGTCCTTGGGGCAGGAACCTCTCCGGCAACTTCTGCCTCTCAAAACTTCCATTTTACATTATTTTGATAATTCTTCAGGCCGCTTAGGATTTTGGTCTGAAGTAGCTTTCTCATTTTGCTCATCTTGATTTTAATATTGTGATGCACTTCCAGAATACGCATTTTTGCGTGAGCCACAACCCTACAAAGCACGCCAGGCAGCCCTGTATTTACAGACTCCGCAACAGCAAACATCTTCTTCATTGGTTTTTCCTGTGGTGCAGAGCAAGGGGATGGGAAGAGATGGAGAGGGAGGATACGCCAGAGACGGACCCAGAGCTGAAGGTTAAAGTCAACTGTTGCAGTAGAAAAAGATTTTTAGGCTTGCGTAGTCTCTAGAAATTTCCCAGAAACTTGAAAAGTCCTTTCAGTAATGAATCTGCTGGGGAAAATTAAACCTGGAAGACATTCTACAGGACTCCCTTGCATACTGAGAGAGGAGGGTAGAGTGGAAAATGGTAAGAGAGTGTTAAATGGTGACTCGAAAATAAAGGAATGATTGATAAGAAGCAAAAACTTAGCGTAACTCTTATTAGTGCTGGTCCTAAATACAGGAGCTGCTTTTTATAGAAACTTTTTTAATGTTGTCTGTAATAAGATAAACAAGAAGCACTTGGGTTGGGCTCTGTATAAATAATCTCCTACTGATAAGAAAAATGACAGTATAAACAGGAGCTAATATTTTTTTCCTATCTTGTTATTTGAAGCTCCTTTTAACGTAGCTGCAGCTTACTCGGGGGGTAGGTATTTAGCCCTACATGTGGCAGGTGAGATGCCAAATTTTTATCAAGAATAATTTGAAGCCGTGTGCAGCAATTTGCTTTAATTGCCACCGGAGTTGTGTCTGGGTACCAAGTAAGTTATGGTCAGAAAGCAAAGGAGAACGAGATAAATTTGAAAAAGAGAAGAATATGTAACACAGAGCTTTGCAGCGTGCAGTTCTGCCAACCTCCCTAATTCTGCTCGTACGATTCAGCCCTGTCCTAGTGTCTCTATTTTAATTGATACGAGCTCTTCAGGTCTTAGCTTTATATTATGCTAAACACATGAAGCCTCGAGGGCGGCCTTGAAGCGCTGCTGTAACGTACATAAAATCCCTTAAGGTTTGGAACCTACACACAGGGATGCTGAGCGAATGCAAACACAAACCAAGTGAAACTTAACTAGTTCCATCGTGAAGAGAATTGAGAAAATGACTGAATTGCTCATTGTCTGAAATGGCAAGAAACTGGATTTTGAAAAACGTTTTCCTTCCTTTTTTTTTTTGGTGTGACAGCACACGGTAAGATTTGTTTTTCCATGATTTTGATCTTTGCGGGTTTTCTGTAAACAAGCTTTGCTAATCTCCTAAATTGATAGATGTCCTTTGCAAACACGTATTCTATGTATCTAGGACGTTGCTTACAAACTGAAGAATTAAAACACAGTCAGTTACTTTCTTCTCCAAATCTGATTTATTCCAGGTGCTTCTAAAAATCTCTCCTGAAAGAAACATTAAAGAAATGCAAAGTAGAGTCGCTGAACAAATCTATCTGTGAAGGTGAAAACCAGTTACCAAAGGCTTGATGAATAGCACTTTTGAGGGTTATGAGCACATTTGTACTGCAGATACCAGTTGCCTTCTCTTGATGATGCATTTTGCCGTTGCTTTTATATATTTGAAAGGGAAACTTTTCCCCCAAGTAATTTCGGTGGGAGGGAGAGGGGCTGGCCAGAAGAGCATGCGTGTACCGGCATCTCCGTTTCAGTTATAATTAGGAAGTGTAATCTGCTAGGAGAAGGAGTGACGTGTGACACGAGAAGTCAATGTTTGAATTGTTATAGTCGTTTGCAATTACCACTTCTTTCTTCAGTGTATTCTGTGAGAAAACTAGTTGTCCTCATTACCATGCGGCCGTGTCCCTGCTGATGCCGAGCCCAGAGGATAGCGGGCTTCCTCGAGGTCCTTGGTTCCGTTTGAGAGTGAATTTCCTCAAGACAGCTGGATTTTCAGTTCTCCAGAGAACTTATTCATTAATCTGCTTCTGGCAGCAGGATGATTTCTTTTTTCCTGCCTGTGCAATTTCCTAAAGTCGCGTGATTACAGGCAATGTGACAGGATGGTGCTGGTGGTGGTACTCGTCGTTGTCCCTGGGAGTCAACTGTGTAAAACCCACTTGAAATGCAGGAAACTCTGACGTGACAATTTTTTTTTTTTAAATTGAAAGTAGTGAAGGATGGGTTTGCGATTAAGATGCTCTGCTGGGATCTGGGAGATCTTGGATCAATTCTTCTGCTACAGACGTTGCATGTGACCTTGAATCAGTCAAGCTGTCAGAATATATGGTTTTTGGGCTTCTAAACTGACCTGAGGTACAGATGAAGGTTATTTTATACCTTAAGAGCAAAAAGAGGAGGAGCAGTATAGTTAGAGAAAACCTTTAGGAAGCTCAGCTCTTATTACAGATCTCTGAAACATGGGAAGAGAAGAATAGAAACTGGAAAAGAATGATTGGAAATGGGACTTAAAAGGGTATTCTAGAGGTCACCCACTACATTTCTCTGACCAAAACCCAAGATCACCTGCGACGTCACCTGGGGTTTTGCAGCATTGCTGTGGAAGTCTGCTAGCCGGAGAAGAAAACGGGCTGTAGGGGTTTTTTGCTAATGCAAAAACCGCTCTGGACTGCACCGCTGTTCAGGAGATGCTGTAGTCAAATAATACCGTACTGAGACCTCGCAGTGCGCTCGCTGAATCCCTGCATCTCGGCGTCCTTTACAAAGCTCCATTTTGCGGGAACGACTTTAGGTGCGGTGAGGACTCGCAATGAGTCAGTTGTGGGCAGGGCGGCGCACAGCTTGAATCTTCTGCCGCCCGCTCCTTTGCTTTGTCTGAAGGGGCGAACATCTGTACGGCTTTATGGCAGTATCGGGTAGGCTCTTGAGCAGAATTGGGATTTTCCACTATATGACTCTTGTCGAAGATGCTTAATCTCTACTTACAACTTTTATCTACTGATGCTTTGCGTTTATATCTTAGGTTGTTAGCCACACGCTCAACAAACACTAATTTGCTGCAATAAGTCTAAGTGGGCTGTAGTAAACAAGTAAATTAATGGTGCTGTTACCCATTGATTAATAGGAGCCAGGCAGCCAGAAGCAGTGAGATACAAACATTTGTGTTCCACAGCACTGTGCTAAAGAAATGGCTTTTATAAATCATATTAAGAGGTGAAGAGCTGCAAATTTTCAAAACTTGGTCTTTCCACTGGCAGCGAGGCATCCAAATTGCATGATTTCAACTAGACTGATGCCTTGCTTGGGACCAGAGAGTTTTGTCAATTGACACTGACTTCTTTTAGTGTTAACTTGTATGATTCCCCAGTTGCCTGTGGTAAACTTGGCCAAATCTGTGGTTTGTGTTTGGTTAAATAATTTTACTAACCTAGTAGAGAATCAACTCAATTCTCTATCGCAGTGTAGACCCTGGGGTAGTCAGCTCTTGACTGTGCCAGCTGTTTCTGAACTCTTCCACTGGGGTCAAGGCAGCCTCTGGGAATGAGCGTTAAGAAGAAATAGAACTTCAATAGAAAAACAGGAAACAAATCCAACCCAGGGTGTTATGTGGGCAGAGCTCTGTTGAGTAGCAGTCAACTTCTGTACTCAAAGCAAAACACACCTAAGCCTCTTCCCCGGGACAATTAAAACTTAATAGGCTCTGGAATTCTGCGTAAGGAAGAAGAGTTGAGAGCATAAACGCTGGGACGTTAAAAATCTGGTTGGAGTAAACCCACCCCATTACAATACCTGAGAGGGAGTTTAATCATACTAAAGTTAACTAGCTTCGGTGTTCAACGTCAAAAAGAAAGAAAAAGCATAGTAAACCCCCTGTTTTAGAAGTGGTAAAACTACAGGGGCTTGTTTTTCTGGAGTTAAATATGATTATGAGATCTTATAAAACCTTGATGCGTCTCTAGAGGGGAGAGGTGGTGTTTTTTCTGTGTGAAAACCAACTTTCTACCTGCCTCCGTGCTGGCACCAAGCAGGTGGCGTTCAGTAGGCTGTTACTTGGAGCACCTCCTAAAACTGCAGCTCCCGGGAGAGTTTAGAAGTTGTTAACCCTTGCTGACAGCCAAAGATATTTTTGGAAGGCACAGGGAGAAGTACTACTTTGGTTATTCAGCAAGTTAGGTATTTTTTATATATTTTCAGATGAACCTATTGGGTTCATTTTCTTCCAGTCGCTTCTTTTCCTTTTCCACATTGATCCTTCATTCAGTGTCATGCTTTGCAAACGACTCTATGGTCTTATAGGGTTTTCTCCCCCGTTCACTGTTTTCTTAGAAGTCTTGCTTTACAAACTCTGGCATTTTTTGTCCCTGGTTTTGCCAGGATCCTGCCTGAATCCTGCTTTGCTGACAGGCAGCTGCCCTCCTGTTTTGTTTTCGGCTGTTATTGCTGCTGGTGATTGGCTTGCTCCGTTTCTGGGCTGATTCTGTGATATCACATAAACTATTTCTGTGTTTATCTCCCTTCTTGTTCAAGCACTGAATGTTGGTGATCTCCTAAGTATCGGTGTTTATACAGAATGGTGGGGGAGGGGCTTCTTCCCATTTCACAGGTGGAGAAATGTAAGAATCAGGGAAGGTGTGGACAATTCCATTCAGTGGTAGATCCTGCTTCGCAGTCTGTTCCCTCTTTGCTTGTAGGTCGATTGTGCGGATTCGAGGATTTACCTCGAGGAAGGTTGAAAATAACAACAGGGAGAAGTTAAAGCGGTTGGGGATGGGGCGGATGTGCTCGAACTTTCTGCTTTTTCTGTTTGAAACGTTACGAGTTCCTGGGTTTTGTAAGACAATGCCCTCTATCAGTATGTGAACCACTTAAAACTGTTTTAAAAAGAACAAGTTTTCTCTTTCTCTCTCTTTTTTGTTTGTTTTGTTGTGGTTTTTTACAGGAATCAGTCAGAGCCGGATCTCCCATTGGCTGCTGCAGCAGGGGTCAGACCTGAGTGAACAGAAGAAAAGGGCATTTTACAGGTGGTACCAGCTTGAGAAGACAAATCCTGGTAAACAAATACAGCCTAAACATCTCCTGCTGTTTTACTTACGGAAAAGAAGCCTTTTGTCGCTCTTTTATCACTGATGATTCATGTCTTGGTCTGGTGTACTGTAGAGCTGTTCCCTCTGGCCAGTTTATTTTTTTACGAGGGTAGGAACAAATGCCCACTTTGCTTTGCAGCAGGTGATCCAGAGCTGTCTGTCCAGCTCCTTGGCCACAGTTCCTCGCCCTGGCCTCTCACCGCTGGCTAACTGGGAATCAGAAGCCATCGGTGAAGCTGTAGCCAGCTAACGTGAAATACATGCCAAGGTTCTTCAGAATGATGAGATAGAACATGCTAATGATGGCTGCGTAATAAAAAGTTGCAGCGAAAAGCCCACATTTCAGCAGAGAGGAACTTTGGGATAACTTCAGAGGATTTGGGATTGGATCTCAAGCTCATGGATGGGGTGTTGATAGAGTGATAACTTGGAGTTGGGCCTCAAATCCCACCTCCTTCTCCAAATCTCAAAATAGATCTTAAATATAAAAAGAGGAGTAAAGCTCCTCATTATCTTTAACTAACCAGCAATCTTCAGAATCACAACTGAATTAATTTCATTGCATTGTTCTTCTCCACAGATTTTGTTTGACCACAGTTCTTGTTTTTCCCTTTCGCGGTTTTATTGTAAAGATAAAAATATTTACATTTAATTTCCTTTAAACAATGACACGATTAAATTAACTCTGTAATTGTTTTAGGAATTTAACTCTCAGGCTCTCTAATGTGAACTTGGCTTCAATATCTAGAATTCTATTAAGAAAAATTCCAGTGAAAACAAATCCTCAAAACTTCTACTTCTTGTGTAAGCTGAAAATCAAGAGGCTCCAGCTGCCAGCTGGCCTGAGAAGACTTTCAGCTCAAGTTGGTTACGTTCAAAGTGACAGCTCAGCCCGTCCTTTCTATTAAGCATCTAGAAAATGATTTTAAAGAAGGGAAGTGCTGAGGGGTTTGAGGTGCTGGCAAGCTGCAGGGCTCGCCTGGAAGCCTTCGTTTTGCCGTGGCTGGAATCGTGATGCCGAGGGCCAGCAAAGTCACCGGAGACAACCTCTCAGTATCAGCTGCTTTGAAAACCTCAGATTGTACCCTACGACATAACTCCGGACCGTTTCCCTTTGATGGAAGGTGTTACTTCCAAAACAGGGAGAGCTAAAGGTTTTTTGGAAGGTGTGTTTTGGAAAAAAATCAAACACCCAAAGTCCTCTCCTTACGATGAGAACTGTTGTGTGGGTCTTTCCTACAGCCTTGCATCTTGTCTTTCCAATGTCATTTGGAGCTGTTTAAGAAACAGATTCTGTGCTGGGATAAGTGAAGCCTTGTCAAACTTAGCGCTAAAATCTTTACTCTTAACCTTCTTTCTCTCTCCATATCCACAAGCTCACATCTTCTGTGTCCTTTCCCTCTTGAGAAGTACCTGAGGAAGGAAGACTAGCAAACACCAAAGGTTCTGCTTTAAATTAAAATGAACCAGCATTAACCTCTACATTTCTGATCCACTGTCTTGCTGAGGTCTTGTTCGTTTTTCGTTATACACACAGAGAAAAATTTCTAGAACCTTCTTTTCAAATAAGAGATCTTACAAACTGTTTTTCAGAGGCATAAAAGGCAAAATGACTCCTCCATCTATACCAAGGGCCTATTTGCATGCACTTAAATTCTGTTTAGAACCAAACAACATTTGAATTCCTTTTAGAGGCTGAAGTGTAGGGGAGAACCCTCAGTTTTCCCATAGCGGTTGGGAAAATCGACTTGAGCAAATGGGTGTGCTCTTTATTGTAGGATAATCCACTGCTTTGAATTATTGCCGTCTGCTATGTTGCAGGTCAGACTGGCTAGCCAAGAGAGAGTTCACACGCCTATGTGCACGTGTGTACAGCGTATTAAGGAAGGTACCAGCCTTGTCCAAAGCACTTGGGATTTAAATTACTGTTATAAAACTAATTTGGAGCCAAAGTTTTGGATGCTACTTAGAGCATCCCGTGATTAGTCGACTCAGCTAGTTGTTGTGCTGCCTTCTTTGGAGTCAGAAAATGAGGATATTTGTAGGGCCTCCTGCCGTGTTCACACAGAAGCGATGCCACCGCTGCACTCTCTCTAGAGTGTAAAACATTTTCCTCCTTTGAAGAAACTTAAGAGATTCAATGTCTGGCACGTGTTTCTCCTATTCACTCACTTACTAGGAAGTGACATTGGGCTTTGTATTCTGATACGTCCCTTCTTTTCCAGCTCCAGCTGCTCAGAATAAAATCTCTGTCCTTCTCCCTGACGGACAGAGTGAGGTCTCTGCACAGAAGCACCTGTGCACTCGAGTTCCCGAGGGGCAAAGTGCCCCTTGAATTCCTTATTTTGAAAACTGGATCATCAGAGGAAGTCTGTTTTCAGACTGAATTTGTCTGTGTAATAATGGAAAGAAAACTATTGCTTAAAACCGAAACTATTTTGAAGGACTAGGACACCAAACCTAATCAGTTTCTGAGCTGTAAAGAATAGTTGTTCCATGAGGAAGGGACTGGAGATTCGATTGTTTATTTCCATGGGTAATCTCTATATTTCTTCTGCCTTTGGTGGTGGGTGTTCAAGCACCAGCAGACTGGAACATTGCAAAAGAGACTTAAGTCTCATGAGTCAGAAGAAAACCCCACACCAAATTTCCTACTGTATGCAATAATCTTGCCCAAAAATCTCTTGTACAGCGTTTTCCTGGTAGGAGTGATGTTGGAGTTAATAGAAATGCTGCGAATTCCAGTCTACTAGTGATGTAAATTTTTCTGGAAAGAGTTGCCAATTAGGGTGAGAGGCAGTTTTTTGTTAAGGGGAAGAAGTCAGTGCTAAATGTTAGTGTTCAAAAGGTCTTTAATCCAAGTAATAGGGATGCTTTTCATTTAGATCGGGGTGGTTTTTTTGGATAGGCATCACATCTCTTGTGGTTTGTAGAGGACTGAGAGCATGTTGGCAGTACATAAACAATATATGCCTCAGAAGCCAGTATATGAGAGCATAGAGTCCTGATGATTTTTTTCAAAGCCCGTATGTTTTAAACAAATATTTTTTTCTTTTTACATTGGTGGTTGTTAGCCTGACTAGCTTGGCTGACACTGGGTCTTGGGCAACGAGAGTTGGAGTAACTTTAGCGTGTATTTTGCCTCAGTGTGCTGCAAACTGAAGCTGGCACCTCAAAATGATGTGTTGAAGTTACAGATGGATGCAGGCTGCTTCCATTTAGGCTGGATATTTATTTCTGCCAGTCTCCTGTGATAGAAAGGCAGCTGTGGTCACCTTGGAGAAAACCATGTACTCTTCCTCCTTGAACAAAAGGGAAAAAGAAAGATAGTTGTTATCGAGATGTAGCATCTCTTGTGTTATTCCCATAACAGTTCTTGTTTAGCTACAAAAGAAAAGCCTAGAAAAAATAAAAAAATCAGGGAGTGGATATCCCATGAGATTTGCACTGGGGACATATTGTTGGTGATTTGCTATTTCATGGAGCTGCAGAGAAAATAGTCCCTGCTCTGATCCTTCCCATCCAAGCAGTGAGCTCTGTAGGGAACCTTGTGCTGGGCAGGCTGCAGATTCAAATGTGGCCTGGCTCAGGAGTAACCAAAAGGTGTTTTATGATGTGATCTCCGGTCAGTCCAGCTAAAAATGAAGCGTGACATCTGTTCTTATCGGTATAATAGGTACTTGCTGCATGACTTGCTCCTAAATGTTTTTGTGGAGCTGGGAGATGGCCCGAGGCTTGCTCCAGCCCCTGTGTGACAGGACCTCGAGACGTGTGATGTGGATCAGCGATTGCACGTGATGCTTTTAAGAGCAACGCCCTTTCTTCAGGAGAGAGGCTGGGATGTGCTGAGAAGGCAGGTCTTTGCCACAAGGAATTCTGAGTGTCTGAGAGAGAGCTGCGTTCCGGCAGGAGCAGCATCGCTCTTGCCTCCTCTCCCCAAAACCCCACCTGCAGCATCCCTGAAGGCAAACCCTGCGTTTCAGAAAACGCTGGCTTGCACAACGAAAGCTGGGTATTGTTGCAAAAGGTACTCGGTGGTGGCAGGCAGTGAGAGATGTCACTTTTCGTTTTTCTCTGCGAAAGGAATTCTTCCCAGACAGTTCACCTCTCTACCCCGTACAGATGTCTTGCTTTTTGATGCATACCCTCAGAATCTCATACTGCATTTGCACCACTCACTCTGCTCCAGAGAGAAGTTTCTCTTCTTCTTAAAAGCTGTCGAGGGGTTCGTAAGAAGAACCTGACCTAGTAACTACGATATAACTTGCTAAGTTGTGAAGAGGTGGAGCCAGGCGGCGAGAAGATTGCAGCGGAGCGTTGGAAAAGCAGAATAAACGTGATCCCCAAGCGCTCGCTTAATTGAGGGGGATGAAGAAAAGCTCCACAGTTATTAAAAGTGGCACCCGTGCATGCGTCCTCTGCTTTTGCCACTCATAGACCCAAGAATGTTTTGGGCTTTTCTGCACATTCTGGCTTTACGCGTGTACGAGAGCAGTGGTAACGTGTTGCAATTCTCAGCGTCTTTCTCTCTTACCTGCTCCTGATACTGATGTTACCCCACAGAAAAGAGAAAGAAGTGAATTGATCTAGCAAAGCTACTGAAACAAAAAAAAACCCAACCAAAGCATTTTATATTCAGTAAGGGAACATAGCAGTAGAAGCAGCAAATTTATGCTTTAAAAGCAGGGTGTTTTCAGCCTTTGTCTGAAAAATCTTGGGCAGCCTTAATGGAAGTGCTCTGCCTCTCTTACCTTGATGTCAGGCATCGCTGTTTTTCCCGTACTCTGCCTGTGAGATGAAAACCTCAGGCAGGAAAAGTATATTGCTAAGACAATGCAGGGAAAGCTAATTTCTTGTATTGTTCTCCCCTGCGTCTGTTTTAAAATTTTAATTTTTTTAAGGGTTTTTTTTGAGTTGTTCGAAGTGTATTTAAAGCTTAGCAACTTGATACTGAACCAGACGCTGGTACTAGAAAGAGTAAGTAAGGAGCTTCCCTTGAAATGACCTCCCAATAAATTGGCAATACAGGATGTACTTCATGTGTCAGTAAAACTAAGTTATCTGTGTAGGCTCGTTAGCTGGGAATTAGTAAGAGTCACAGTCCGTCGTGCGTGCAAGGCAGAGATTGTGGCCTTCTCTTCCTCTACTCCTCTCCTGGGTAACATTTGTGAATTATTTTGGGCTCTGCCACCTAACACAGATGCAAGCCCCTGGCGGTAAGGAAAATATTCACTGTGCATTTCTGGAGAGGAACCCAGCCAAATGCATAAATAGCTAATTTCTTGCTTTTTAACCGTATGAATTTGTTTGTTCATTAAACTCTTTATGTTCCCTTAACCCTCTTCCTCTGTTTCAAATGAAACAAGCAGTGTTGTTTCACTAACACCCTGTGTTTTTGTGATGAAATCCTCACCGTTCTGAGCAAACCGGTGCACCCAGAGGGGTTTGCTGTCTCAGCCTTGCTTTGCCGTGTGCACGGTGCTCGATTCCTCCTGCGAGCAGAGCTGCCTGCTTCTCTTGCATCTAAGGAGGCCGGTTCAGCCCATGAATTCCAGTTGAGCTCGATAACGCCTATGGGATGGAAGTAGTGATTTATCTTCCCGTACCACTGGGTTTTATTTTTCTTTATTTGTCGCACACAAGAAGAGCTATTTCTTCCCTCCAGGGGAAGTCTCGGAGCACAAAGCTGTCCTTCAGAACATACCCTGGTTTTCGTACTGACGTGTCCTATGCCAGGTTCCCATCCTCACTGAGGGATATACAAAAGATCGGTCTCCCAGCATGTCTTGATTTATCTTGATTTACTAACTGAGAGGCTGTTGTGGAAGGAATCGGGGGTAAGTTTCAAAGGGCCTTCCCTGAGGGCCTCGTGCCAAGTCCTGTCTCTTGCTTGATGCTTTCCAGTTCAGGCTTCTTGAAAGGAGAAATGTATCCATAGAAGGGGGACAGAAGAGGAAAGGTGTGATGTTAATTTGCGCTCAGCGACTTTCTCAGGCAGCTCAGGAGCCCGTGTTCGCACAGGTCACGGGGTGTGTTCCTACTGGTGGAGCTCTTTCAGGCGTTCACTCAACTTTTCAGACTCCTTGAAATACCTTTGTTGTAAATTTACATTTCAGTTTCTGAGACTTGTACGATTAAATAGAAACTTGCTCTTTTCCCTTTTCGTGGCAGAAGAGATAGCAGCTCAACCTAAATAACTCCCAGCTGGGACTGAGTGTAGCTCACCCGTTCTGTAAGACACTCCTCTTGATGAAGACAGGACAGCTTTTTCTAAGTATCTTATCAGCTCACTTACGTCTCCCTTGGATTTCCACCGACACCTGATACTTGGCGGTTGGGGATGGGAACCCTCTGGCTTTGTGTATCTTTTCGGTGTCTTTGTTTGATAACGCTTTGCTTTTTTATCTTGAATGGTTTCATCATCTGTCTTGTCTTTTTTTTTTTTTTTTTCCCCCCATGAGCAGGAGTGAGAAAACGGGCGTGATTTTTAATCCACTAGGAAACACAGTATTTACTGTTCTCAGGGGCTACGTTAAGCATGAGACCCGCTCCTATCCCAATAGAAGAGCCAGAATGGAGACAGACGCCTCCCCCAGTCACAGCTACCTCTGGGACCTTCAGACTACGGCGAGGCAGTCGGTTCACGTGGAGAAAGGAGTGCCTGGCCGTTATGGAAAGGTATGTCACTTCGGGGTTACGGAGATGAGCATTTTAAAGCTGATATAAGTATCCTTTTTCCTGCTCTGGTGAACACCAACTTCAATGTCATGGATGTGTTTTAGCATCGCGCGAGCCAGTATCTAGATAATAGAGTAGGGGGAGCTATTTTGTCCCTTCTGTTGCTTAAAAAAAAAAAAAAGTTGTACTACTCTGGACACTCTCATTTTTTGTAGCCCTGAAAACGTTTTCTCCTTAGCTCAGTCTGAGAGTATTGGCGTTCAGCTCTTCCTTTACTTTTGCACAAACCTTTCTGTCTAGCCTAATCCAATCTGTCTTGGTGGGGCTCTGCACTCTCTTTATTTTCTGCATATCTCCTTTCCCAATTTACCGCTTCGTCCTCATGCATATCAAGTTATTTTATAGTTGATACTGGTGTTCTGGCGGCACTCTAATTGTTCAGGATGCAGAACTTTGCCTAACAAGCAGTAGATTCCTTGTCCAAAAAGGCTCTTACAACCCTTTTACATGGGAAGAGTACAGAGCAAAGTGGATCTTTCAAATACATATGCAGAGTGGCAGGTGATCATTAGAGCTCCCAGCTCTTCAGTCCTGCGGAGACGAAGCGCTCTCTGAGCCTGGTCTCCTGGCTGCCTGTGTGCTTTGCCTTTCCCTCTGCTTACAGTAATGTCTCTTTTGTGGGTAATATTGTGTGATAGAAAAGGGCTGGTGAACTCAGACGTAGTTTCGGGATGAATACTTACTTCTGTTAAGGACTAAATGACTGGGAGGGGTTTTCTTCCCTCCGAGGGTGCGAGGAACCTCCTTTCCCTGAAAGCACCACTGTGCTGCACTCCTCTGCTTTGCATCTCCATCGAGTCCTTGGCCAGCAGGTTTTTAAGATGTGCTTTTTCCCTTCCTGTACCGCTGCTCTTTCTTTTTGCTTGCACAAGGGTCCTTGGAACTGATTAAGTAGGCGAGTGTCTCCTTTTGCCTAAGCCAAGACCCAAATACTGAGCACCCCCAGGGACCCAAGCCTTTTTCCAAACAAGATGGACATATTTCTGTGGCCACAGGCCGTCACGGGGACTTTGTAGGGTTGAGACCAGTAACTGAGTGTTGGTTTCCCTGTTTTCCTGGCACTGCACCGATGTTTTCAGCTTTGACTGAGTGTTTCCACAAGTGAAATCGTGTAAATGTTTGAAATCTGTTCTGCTTTGCCAGACCCCACTAACGCAAAGTCCTGATGTCGGGTAGCACAGGGGTCTGTGTTTTCCTCATGACCCTCTCTGTGCCGGCACTGCCATGGGCAGCGTAGGATCTTCAGCACTTTGAAATGCTGGTGTGACTGTCCTGATTGCAGTCCGGAGAGTGACAGAAACGCCACAGCTCTGTCTGCCTTCAGCAGAATGCCATCTCCTTGTTAACCCTGCGCCTGTGAAATACTGGGTTGTTCTGATGGAGAGTTAGAGCTCTTTGAGCACAGACATTTCTCCTCCTTGGTTTCTGTCTGGCCTAAAGGGCGATAACAGCCATTATTCGGTGTTTGGATCATGGTGCTTTCTTTGTGCTAGGTGCTGTGGAAACGCAGAGCACAAGGAGAAAGCTAAGCAAGCACTACCCTGTCCTTCAGATCCCTCCCAAAGCCACTCTCTGCTGTGAGACTCTGAACAAGTCAGAAAACCTTTGGGGTGTGTCTGTTAGAAACGTGTGAGATTTGGTTTTGTGTATGGAAAGGAGCAAGTCGGTGTTGGAAATCATCCAGTTGTGTATGCAGATAGAAAATCAGTCGATCGAATTTTTCATTACCTTTCTTCTTCTTTTTTGTCATTCTTGGTTTTGTTTGCATTCTTGGTTTTGTCTTGTCTCATGCTCTGTAAGGTCTTTGTGGCTGAAGTTTTTTTCTTACTCTTCTGGTAGATGGAGACTCCTGCCACGTTGCCTTAATCCTGGCTTTAATATTAATTTGCAAAGCTCTTTTGTGGGTCACCGCAAGCCCTGAATTTCACAGACTCATCCGTGGGTACTGGAAAGAAAGTATGGCTGAGGAGTTTTACTTGAGGCAAGAACACAGTCAACTGGAGCTGTGGTAAAAGATTTGTGTGACAGTAAAACTACACCATAAAGCAAGTTGGGAATATGGTTGTTTAACTGTTAAGACTTTAATAGGCCTAGTTGAGCTGTAAAGGATGAGCTGTTTTATGTGACAAGTTTTGAAAGACTGGGAGGAAGACACTCTCTTGGGAGCCCTTGGAAGAAGGTAACTAATTTCACTTACAGGTCACTGGAGTCTTCCAGGCTTGGATGTAATAAGACTCGTAACAGCAGCCAGGCTGAAGGTAACCAGGCTCCTGCCTGGCCCAAGCAGGTCACTTGGTGCCTTAGGCTCAGGAATAAGCACTTGGCCCACTGAAATGGTGTTTGGCATTGCCTGGTGCCATCTATCCAGAAATTTGTGTTTTCCTCTGAAGGATTAGGTTTTGGCTGTGAGTGGAGGCATCTTACGCTGTTTAATGGATTGTTTTCCTTGATTAAATGCAAGTTTCCTTGTGTTGCATTTGTAGGTCCTGCATCTGGGCAGGAACAACACCAGTCACCAGCACAGATCAGGGGACGTCCTGCTGGAAAGCAGCCCCATGGAGAAAGACCTTGGAGTGCCAGTGGGCAGGGAGTGTCCCTGGGACAGCCCCGTGCCCTGGTGGCCAAGAGACCAGTGGGATCCTGGGGGGCATTAAGAAAAGTGTGTCCAGCAGGGCTGGGGAGGTTCTCCTGCCCCTCTGCTCTGCCCTGGGGAGACACCCCTGGAACGCTGGGTCCAGTTTGGGGCTCCCCAGTTCCAGAGAGACAGGGACCTACTGGAGAGAGTCCAAGGGAGAGCTGCGAGGGGGATCAAGGGACTGAACATCTCTGCTGGGAAGAGAGACTGAGAGACCTGGGGCTGTTCAGCCTGGAAAGGAGACGGCTGAGAGGGGACCTTATTAACGTAGAGAAATATCTGAGGGGGGAGGGTCAAGGGGAGATTCAGCATCTGGATGCGCTGCTGGGCGCACCCACGGATTTAGGCATCTAGTTTTGAACCTCTTGATTTGGGAACCTCAGTGAAGCGCTTGTTCATCTGGGCTTCTGTCTCTTCAGCAAGGGGAAACGGAGATCTGGAAGACATTTCCATCCCCCTGAAGCAACTCATGCGAGGGCTGCGTGCACCTTCCTCTCTGGCTACAAAGAGGAACCTTCTGCAGTTAAACCTGATTTTGGTGATTTAGTCCAGTGCCCGACTATAAGAGGGTTGAATCTAGACTTGATTTGCTTCTAGGAGGAGGCTCTGCCACTACAAATGCACAGCACCGGTCGGATTTGGCCTGTTTGAATGAGAAGGGTGAGGGTTGAAGACTAATTTTACTTTTTTTTTTTTTTTTTTAAAGATAGAAATCAACAGAAATTCCAGTGCAATCAATTATTATATTGGTGCCAACCTGATACAATTAAGATTAAAGTTAGGGTCAGCACATATACTTGAATGTCTAATGTACATAAGTGTTCGTATACAGGGGATGTGTATTAAAGAAACTAATTGGTTTATACTGGGTTTCCAGAATGCTGCTTGCGGTTTCTGTAATTCAATTCTCCGGTCCTTACTGCTTTTTTGGAAATTCTCCCAGGGTAGTTTATTAGTCGCTAGGCTTAGGTTTCGGACAATAGATTCAGGTCTCTTTCTCCATCTCTCCTTCCTATTTTTTTTTTTTTTTAATATCTCTCGAATATTTATGCTCTGAAGGTTGAGAGGAGCAATAGTTCCAGAAAGTAAAGTTCTATATTTAACTGCAGACTAGGTGTGGTTCAGACAACTGCAGTGCAAGCTCCCTCTCGCTGCTGTGCTGGTGATATCAACCTTGACCTGTTCTCTTCTTGAGCCTCCTGCTCATGAAATATTCCGAGTTTCGTGTGTGCTGATGTTGTCGTGTGGCTTTACCCTCCTTTGGGAACAGAGCTAAGACTACAATAGTCCTTTCTGTGAAAACCTGAGGTTAAACTTGAAAGTCTGTTTCTGCTTCAGTTTCGTGTTCTTCTTCATTGTGTCTTGTCCCACAGTTAATTTTTTTTTTCTTTTCTCTGCTTTACTACTTCTTTCAACCTCTCTCATTAGGACTGCAACACTGAAAATTCCCTTAGGTTTTTCTCTTTTTTTAATGAAGCTGTGTTGTCTTGTCTATCTTTTATTTTTATTTTTTTAGAAAGTGATTTGTGCTTCTCCTCTAATCATATGTTGGAGTTGAAGTTTGTCATCTTTTTCTGGAAAAAAAAACATCTAAGATTGGCAGCAGAATTGATGACTGTATTATACCCATTTTAAGGCACTTTTGTTGAGTGCCTTTAAAGACTGGGGAGGTGGTGGGGGGGGAAGTTGAGTGTTGTTTTTTAAGTATATGCTTTATCCAAAGATTAAATTAAAATAACTGTAAATTCTGCTCTAAACAAAATGAATAATTCATCAGTTGAAAGTATTTCAGTTTGCGCAGAGAGCAGAGACTTGGCTTTCTGGTTGAGGGTTATTTGGTTTGATTTTATGGGTCTGTTTTTCTGTTTTAACACTTGTCTGTGCTTTTGAAGCATCCTTTTGTAAAGATGTAGGTGCTATAGACACCTATTATCCCCAGTTCATAGATGGCAAAAGAGAGTCAGGTGTTCCACTTGGCTTTGTCATCCCAGGCAACTTTCTTCGTAAGAAAATGGGTTTAGATTTCTCAAGATACCGAGGGTTTAGTTTCGTGATGTACCTGAGCTGAATTAACAGTTTGTCGCCGTCTCCTCCATGGGTGTTATCCCGTCTCATCGCACTTCTCAATTCCTCCTCCTCAGTTTCCCTGCTCCGGTCAGCCTTCGTTGTGCCAGATACATTTCTTGTCCGATGGAAAGAGCAGCCAATTCAGTTGGATTTAGAAAAATTACATCCTTTTCTTTCCTCCTGCATTTTATTGAATTGATTCAGCAATGAGGGCGTGCCGCAACTGGGACGGGGCAAA